TAGGGAAATTGGGCAAATCAAAACCACAAATAGATACCACTTCACACCCACTAGGATGGCTATTTAAAAAGAAAGAAAGAAAGGAAGAAATAACAAGTGTTGGTTGAGGATGTGGAGAAATGACAACCTTTGTGCAGCTGGTAGAAATGTAAAATGGCATAGTTGCTATGGAAAACAATATGGTAACCCTCAAAATTTTAAAGATTTTATTTATTTGACAGAGACACACAGAGAGAGGGAACACAAGCAGGGGGAGAGGGAGAGGGAGAAGGAGGCTTCCCACCAAGCAGGGAGCCTGATGTGGGGCTTGATCCCAGGACCCTGGGACCATGACCTGAGCCAAAGGCAGATGCTTAACGACTGAGCCACCCAGGCGCCCCAACCCTCAAAATTTTAAATATAGAATTATCATTTAACCCAACAATTCCACTTCTACATATATACCCAAAAAATTGAAAGCGGGGATTTCAACAGATATTTGTACTCCAATGTTCACATTATATCACAATAGCCAAAGGTAGTAAAAACCCAGTGTCTACAATAGATGAATGGATAAACTAAATGTGATATATATATGTGTATATATATATGTTATCATATATGTATATATACTGTGGAATGCTATTCAGCCTTAAGAAAGGAAAAATTTTGATATATGCTACAACACGGATGAATCTTGAAAACATCACACTAAGTGAAATAAACCAGACACAAAATGACAATATTGTATGATTCCACTTATATAGGGATAGGGTACCTAGAAAAGTCAAATCCATAGAGACAGAAAGTAGAACAGTAGTTACCAGGGGTTTGGGGGAGCAGAGGCTGTGGCAATGGGGAGTTATTTAAGAAGTACAGAATTTTGGTTTGGGATGGTGAAAAGTTCTGGAGACGGATAGTGGTAGTGCTTGCACAGTGTAAATGTACTTGGTGCTACTGAATTGTGCACTTAAAAATTGTTAAAATGGTAAACATTATGTTAACATATATTACAATACGAAAAATAATGAAGAAAACTACCTATTTATAAAATAGAAATGAAGACTATTATAATTCTTAATCTTGAGTGCATGATAGCCAAGTGAAATCATGAAGTAAATAATAAACAGGTTTATCTGTGAAAACAACACTCCTGTCTCAATACCCCCTTGCCAAGTTAAAAGCAAATTAAGCACAAATTTTTTGTTCTACGTATGAGAAACAAAATGTTTGACTGAATTAATAAGCAGGTTTTAAAAGATTCATTTTTAAGTAATCTCTATACCCAACATGGGGCTCGAACTCACAGCCCCAAGATCGAGTCATGTGCTCTACTGACTGAGCCAACTAGGTGCCCCAATAAGCAGTTTTTATGTATCAATACACAGATGAACACACTGATGTGAAAAAGAATGAGCTAAGGATATAAATGGAGATTTAATAAAAATAAATGTGTACATGAAAATATATCTAGGGGCGCCTGGGTGGCTCAGTCGTTAGGCATCTGCCTTCGGCTCAGGTCATGATCCCAGGGTCCTGGGATCAAGTCCCATATCCGGCTTCCTGCTCAGCAGGAAGCCTGCTTCTCCCTCTCCCACTCCCCCTGCTTGTGTTCCTCCTCTCGCTGTCAAATAAATAAATAAAATATTTTTTAAAAAAGAAAATATATCTAAATTTATGAGATATATAGATATGTCATTAAATATTCCATATTGGCCTAAAAACTAGCAAATTTTTATAAAAGTCATATCCATGGTACCATAATTTTCATGCACTATTAATTCCAAATGAATTTGGTGTAAAAGAACTCATATACAACTTTCCTAGATGGTATTTTATGCCCTTACTTAAAACAAATATGTTCTTGAATGCAACCCATTTAAAAGAATATACTTCATGGTAATGGTTAAACTAAAGTGACAAGTTATATTTTCCATAGGATTATTTATATTATAAGCAAACTTTGGAAACAATAATTCTGAATAGGCAAATAAAGTATTCTATTCCAAAAAATGGAATTCTGGGCAGGTGTTAATAATAATTATGTAGAGGTATAATGACTGATAAGAGATCTCAAGACATGAGAAAAAATGGGTTACATATAAAAATAGGTCTCCCCAACTTTGTAAAGTTATAGATGTGCTGTAAAATATAAATGTGTAATATAAACAGTATTTTTAAACGTATATTTAATATTAGGCACTGGCTAATTCTAACTAGTTGATAAAAATTTGAAATTCAAGTTTCATCATCCTTAAGAAGATAATTCCTTTTAATATTTGTATAATAAAGAGTGGTTCAGCCCTAAAGGCCCTGAAACACAACCAATATGGCTCAAATCCATATCATCCCACTTGGAAATGGTGGGCCTTGGGCAAGTTGCTTAATATTCATAAGCTCTATTTTTGCTCATTGTTATAATGGCAACATTACCACACGAGCAGGGGTTTGCTGCTAGATTTAAATTGGTTAATTATGGGGCACCTGGGTGGCTTAGTCAATTAAGCATCTGACTCTTGATTTTGGTTCAGGTCATGATCTGAGGGTTGAGAGATCCGGCCTGCATCAGGCTCTGTGCTGGCGTGAAGCCTGCGTAAGAGTTTCTCTGTCTCCCTCCCACACTCGTGCTCTCTCTCGGAAAAAAAAAAAAAAAAGTTAATTATGTGAAACTTTTAGCACTGTACCAGGCACATGTTAAGCATAAACATAATTTACTCAGTCACCCTCCTTGGGATAAGGCATGTTGTTGCTGGAAAAAACTGACAATGATTGAGTTGAACACCAACAGCATCTACTGCTTTAGCCAAAATCCCCCTATCGAGTGAGAGCTGTGATGGTTAATTTTATTTGCCAATTTGACTGGTCCACAGGTGTTCAGGTATTTGGTTAAACACCATTTCTGGGTGAGTCTGTGAGAGTGTTTCGTATGAGATTAACATTTGAATCAGGGGACTGATTGCCCTCCCCTATGTGAGCAGTCCTCACCCAATCCATGGAAGGCCTGAATAAAATGAAAAGGCTAAATAAGAAAGCTTTCTGTGTTTATCTTGAAGCTGGGACATCAGTCTCCTCCTCCGTTCTGACTCAGTCTCCAACTGGAACTTAACACCATCAGCTCTCTTGGTTCTCAGGCCTTCAAACTCCAACTCGCACTATACCATTGAGTCTCCTGGGTCTCCAGCTTGTCAAATGCAGATCTTGGGACTTGCTGGCCCCCATGTCCTTTCTCTGTCTCTCCTGCCCCTTTCCCTCTCCCTATATATCCTATTGGTTCTATAGATGATAGAGATAGATGATAGATAGATAGATAGATAGATAGATAGATAGATAGATAGATAGATAGATGCAGAGCTCTATAGATTCTATCATCTATCTATCTCTATCTACCCAGCCAGCCAGCCAGCCATCCTGTTGGTTTTGTTTCTCTGGAAAGCCCGGACTAACACATGAGCTAAAGAAAGAATTTTAGGCATACAAGGGCTCAGCAATTATGCCATTTACTGAAGTGACCCACATAAACTGTCTAGGGAACTCCTAAGAAAGGGGGTCCAGCCAAATGACATTTAAACATTTAAATCAGAACTAAGCTTTCATGAAGGGGAGATGAGGTGAACACACAGCAGTGATGTTCCCACACCTCTGAACCTCTTCCAGTTCCTCTCAAAGTCTCAAGCACTTTCTTCTCTTGGGGCTTTCGCAATACAGACGATTCTCTTCGTCTTTGCCATAAGGTTCACTCTCAGCTTTCAAACTGCTGCTTATTTATTCCCTTACAGGCCTTCCTTATATCTCTATTTAAATCAAGATCATCCATCACTGGTTCTCAAAATCCTCTTCTTTTTCATTATCGTTCATCATACTGTGTAACTTTATTTATATTTGGATTTTCTTATGTCCATCTCCATGGGTCAAATAAAATGCCCATTACAGCATGACTGTTGACTCTTCAGTTATTCATCTCTAACAGGAGTCGGAAAACTTTGGGAGGTCGCCTGGGTGGCTCAGTGGGTTAAGCGTCTGCCTTTGGCTGAGGTCATGGTCCCAGGGTCCTGGGATTGAGCCCCACGTCGGGCTCCCCGCTCTGCGGGAAGCCTGTTTCTCCCTCTCCCACTCCCCCTGCTGTGTTCCCTCTCCTGCTGTGTCTCTGTCAAATAAATAAATAAAACCTTTTTAAAAAAGGAAAGAAAACTTTGTCCTATGGGCTAAATCTGGTCCACTGCCTTTTTTTGTGTGGCTCTGGCCCATCAGCAAAGAATAAGAATGGTTTTTACAGTTTGGCGGGGTGGGGGGCGGAGGGGGACTTTTACATTTGTAAATGTTGGAAGAAATCAAAGGACAGTCCTTTGTGGTAGTTGAAAATTATGAGATTCAAAAAAAAAAAAGAAAATTATGAGATTCAAATGTCATGTCAAATGTCACTGGAACACAGCCACACTCAATCACTTACATTTTATCTATGGCTTCTTTCAAGATACCACCTCAGAGCTCAGTAGCTGTGATAGACACCCTGTAGCTCACAGACTCTAGGATATTGACTGTCAGGCCCTTTACAGAAAAAATTTGCCAACTCCTGCACTATACTCAGTATGGAGTACCAATGCCTAGCAGATAATGGAATCTATTGGTCCAAGTTTGGTATATCACTGACATCAGGCATTTACCTCAGGGGCTGGACTTTTAAAAGCAGTAACTTAGGGGCACCTGGGTGGATCAGTCAATTAAACGCCTGACTCTTGGTTTCGGCCCAGGTCATAATCTTAGGGTCTTGAGATCAAGCCCTGCATTGGGCTCTGGGCTCCATGCTGAGCGTGGAGTCTGCTTGAGACGCTCTCCCTCTCCCTGTGCCCCTCCCCTCCACTCACTCTGTCTAAAATAAATAAATAAAATCTTTAAAAAAATTTTTTAAAGCAATCACTTATACCCAGGCATAAATAATTTAACACAATATGGCCCAAATAAGGAGATACTAGAAACAGAAGGGTAATTTTTTCAACCACATGAATTATTTCAAAATCACCCCTTCCAAGAAAGCAACTAGAGGTTTTCCACCAGCTAAATGAATAGAAAAGTAAAAATTCAGTATCGGAGAGAAGTGAAGAAAACCCCCATAGGGATGGTGGTAGAGGAGGCCAGATCTCTTGAGCATCAGGCATAGAAGGCAACCGGTTAGGATGGATCATATTAAAAAATTGTGGCCAAGGATAATGCAGACCCACTTCTCCACAGTAAACACTCAGGAATAGTAGAAGTAAACTGAATCAAAATTTTTATTGGTGAAATCCATAATGGTGTATGGATGTCACTGAATTATGATGCATTAATGGAATATTTTCAAATCTTGAATGTCTACTATGAGGCAATAAGTTCTCCTAATTTACATAGACTATCTGCCCAAGAATACAGAAGATGCTGAAAAATGTAGCTGTCCCTAAAGAGTCATTGTATAGCTTGAGAAAAGGGGAGAGAATAACACTCATTTCTTTTGAACTTAGCCCTATGTTTGTGTGCTATAAAAATAAACTTAGTAAATATATTCCCCCAAATTCTAATCACACCTTTGTTTCATTTCCACATTGTTCATTTTGGCCTTCTCATCCTTGAAGCTAACAGAATTCCAGGAATTAAACTTAAAAACGTAGGCTTCTCTGACTCTGGGAGAGTGAAAAAATTTTACAAGGTTAAACCATTAATATTTCCCCTGTCCCTCATAGTTACAAAAAAAAAAAAAATCGGAAAATAAAAAACTCCTAGTAAATGTTCTAATACTGAATTTAATACTTCAGAATTTTTGCTATCTTTTTGAAATAAACACTAACCTCTGATTAGTCTGTAATTATACTTAATGGTCTTAATATACGCATTTAATTTAAACTGTCATCTATGTTTTATGAAATATACACATGTAAAAATTTTTGTTGTTAAAATAAAGGATCACTGGTTCTTTCTTCATACATGCATAAAAAGATAGTAAAATTTATGAGCCTGCTACATTTAAATAAAAACTTTGAGTTTGTAATTAATTTAAAGTATACCAGAGATTATTTCAGAAATTACCTATGACCCAAGTTAACAATTAGGTTTAAGAGCAGACATACTGTTAACTAATGGGAAATGTTCTTTGCCCTTAGGAGTCACAGAAAATGATCTCTCCTACTCTTTTCCCTCAATATTGTCATGCCTGTATAAAATGTCTAGAAATCTGTCAGCCTTCATGGTACCCCAGCCAACACTGGGGAAGACAAAGTGAAAAATAGAAGAGAATCTGAGTCTCTGAATATTTCATTTTGCTTATGAATCAAAAATCTCTGGAACCTCTTCTCTCCTCACCCTCCAAAAAAGCCTGTTATATGACTCAATATACTTCCTCATTGCTTACGCTAGTTTGGTATTTTGATTTTTGCTGAGTGTATCCTAACTGTATCAAATAACTAAGGGTCATGGTTCATACTGGGAGCTACAGATGCAGAGATAAAACTGATTCCATCACAGCCACCAACCAGCTCATGTCTGGTGGGGGAACACACACACACACACACACAGTCACTGCCGAGGCAGTAAATGCTGTCCTACAAGTTTTACAAATGCTTTGTGAAACCGGACACACCTAATACATCCAATGTCAGGAGGAAGGAGTGGACAAGTATTGCAAGAATATCCAAATAGCGAATAAATAATCAGAAAAGAATGGAAATGTAAACCATGATACCTACCAGAGTAGCAAACACTTTTCTTTTTAATTGATGATGCCAAATATTTTCAAGGATATGGAGAAAGCAGAACATTCATACACTGTTGGTGGGAGTGCCAGTTGGAATTTTTGGAACCTATTTAGAAAAATTAAACTTACTAAAGTTGAACATAGGCATACCCATGACCAAACCCAAGCAACTCCACTTTCAGTATATGGAGAAAAATACGCACAGGTACGATCATTAACAGTCTGATAAGGAGCTCTGATTTCCCAACATAGTATTCCCAAGAAGACATAATGAAGGATTTTCAATGTTGTAATTAATGCTCCTTTTATGTGAATCTTAGCTGGTACTACATGGCTGCAAAGGCTCCTGAAAAGAATTGTGCTGGGCACTCTGAATTTGTTGTGTCCAAAGTAGAATTTCAAAGATAAGAAAATCAACAGATGGAACTAGAAAAGTGATTATAAGATCTCCAATTCAAAACAAAACCACCCAATACAGTCATACGGTTTTAAAGAACAGGTAACTGCAATACAAAAACAAACAAAAATACCTCAAAAATATAACTTTTATATAACCTCACTCATGAGATGTAAAAATTCTAAATAAAATAGTAGCAAATGAAATCTAGCAGTGCACCAGAATACATACATATACCAATAATTAACCCGGGTATATCCAGGAATGGGAGAAAATCAAACAATCTGTCAATAGAAATTATCACAATTAACAAATTAAATACTATACAGTTGCAGAAAGAGATGATGAAATGACATGAGATAACTCAGGAGCCCTTTTGACTTAGATACAACAAAGATTTTTACTCACAAATAAAAGAAAACATTAGAAGGCAATCCTTTGAGAGCATGATGCTAACTACCATTCCATCATAACAAGCAGACTTAGTGACTGAAATATCCAACTTTAGGGCCTCCTAGTTATGGCAGCATTCCCAATGCAGTTTCATATCCCTAAGATGGAAATAGGTAATGGGAATCAGTATTTCCATGGTAAAGTTTGAGATCACCAGTTTAAATGAAGTCAAACAATTTCACTCAATAGAATACTCTTTAGTTTTCTAAGTTGACTAGGTGCTTTTGATTTTTCCTTGAGAGGGGGATTTAGTAGTTTCTACTTCATAGGCTTCATTAACCAGAGAATCCCACTGTTTCTCAAGTACTATTCAGTACTGGTAATTTTTGAGACATAATTTCAGAAGTTCTGGGACAATTTTAGTTATATAAATTGCTTCTGTATATTGGCTTAGGGTTTGTTATTTTTCTAGCTTCTTAGTTCAGTGTGACAGGGATGGTGTAGATACGGGAAAACAGAGCATAGTTCTGGCCCTCCATCTGGCCAGATGCATCTTGGTTTCCTCCAAGACACATTAAAAGGTATTTTCCACTGAATAGAGCCTCAGGCACATTCTACAACTTCTGATACACAATTTAACTATCATTCTTTTTTGAACAATCTGTAATTGTTTCCATTTTATCTTTAATTCAGAACTTCATACATATGATAGGACTACATTTTCAAAAGTAGTTGAAAGGTTCACCAGTCTTACTAGTTGTATAATGGAGAGCTCTAGTCCTTTATAATGGAGAGCTCTAGCAGTCACCATCTTAAGCAAACGACCAAACTTAGCACTGGCAGTAGTGAGAAAAATGGGTATTATGTGTTTCTGGTGTATTGCAATATGAAGTATGTATCACCAAATATGGTGTATTCTGGCCAAAAATGTTTAAGTCTCTGGCTCTAACTCGACTTTATGAGAGATACAAAGGATAGAGACACAAATTAAAGCTCACCATGAGGGAAGAAACCAATCTAGAATGCATGGCATTCTGTAAAACAGCTTTCCAAGTCTTTTCAAGATTAAAATCTAGAGACATGATAACCAAATGCAATACATGAATATAGAAAAGATGCTGGTTAGAAAATAAATAGCAATAGGATACCTTGGGAGTATTGGGACATATGAAGTGAATATAAAAGAATATTACAGAATTACTGATAATTTTCTTGTGTGACCATGGTATTAAAGGCTGTTCTTATTCTTAAAAGATGCATGCTACTATATTCAGGAATTAAGTATCACTTCTATGTCATAAGATAATGGTTAAGTATACGTACACATACATACCTATAATTTCAGAAAGAAAGCAAATATGATCAAATGTTAATAATTATTGATTCTAAATAGAGTACATGGATGTTTATTATACTGTTCTTTAAATTTTTCTAAGTGTCTGAAATTTGTAATAATAAAATTTGGGGAAAGAATTCCCAAACGGACAATTTTTTGTTTTTTTAATTTGTAATTTATGTCAAAATGTGAGCAGAGAATCTTAATCACTGGCTACTTCTCTGTTTTTATTCATCACAGGCAAATTGTTTCACACCTCTCCCTGGTTCTTCAATAGGTATATTCCCAACATCTTTAACACTAAGTCCACATTTCTTTTCAGCCTTCATTTTTTATGCAGCTTAAGGGATAAACTCTGAATAAAAATCCTCTCAAGTTTGTGTTTCTCTAGATTTTATCCATAATGAGAACTATCAAATTCAAATGGATGAGTGGTTATGGAAGCTCTTCTAAATCCATTACACCAATGAGCATTCTTTTCATAAGAATTCGCTACTAGTAATACTAATGATGAAGATATTAAGAACAATAGCAAACATGTATTGAGCATAGGATACATATAAGATAACTCTTCCAAGGATCTGATGCATACTAAATCCATGCAATCTCTGAAACAGGACTATTAGTTACCATCACCAACATTTTAAAGACGATGCCCAAAGGAGATAAGCATTTTTCCCAACATCCCATAGGTAGTAAGAAGGTGGAATGGTGAGGACAGTTAAGTATGGTTTGTGCCATGTGTGAGAGATTTCCTATATTTGTTACATTGACAAGGTTATTCTCTAGGATGAATTCACTGAAGTTTAACAAAGGTTGAATAGTGTCAGCAGGCTTCTATACCTTCATTAAATGAACACTACTTATTATAAATTATGCTATTATAGGCATAAGGAAGTTGTGACTCACACATTAGTCAAATCTTCCTTTAGTGTGAATATTCTGCTATTCTAATCACAGAGGTGACAAGTGAAGCATTTATTCTAATTAAATTATATTGTGACTTGTCTCATGTTTTTAAAACTGAATGTTGTCTCTCAAATTATTTCTTGGAAAGGGCAAACTTTTTAAATTCTAATCATTCATGAGCTGATTGATATTTTTATAAACACAATAAAAATGTTATGGCAATATGAAATTGCTATAAGTTTCCCAACACTTACTCTTATTTTCCACATTCATCTCATGATGGACAGGTAACAATTTTATGGACTGGCACAAGTCTCTAGACAACAGTTTTAGTAGTTCTTGTCTAAAGGCCTTCCTACATCCCAATTTAAAGGGTTTCTCATTTGCATTCATTCTATGATATAGCCTAAGATATTTATCACATTCCTTAAATTCATAAAATTTCACAGCAGTATGAGTTCTCTAATGCACACAGCAAAAACTGAATTAGGTTTTCGTTCTTTCTACATTCTTTAAAGTGTTTCTAATGAGTACAAATTCCCCAATGTTTACCAGACTTTTGTGCCATGAATAAAGATCTTCACACATCTTACATTTAAATGATTTCACATCAGTATAAACTGATATTCAATAAAATTGTATAAAATTCTAAGGGCCTTTTCATATTCCTTATATTCAAAGTATTTCTCACTAGTATGAATTTTCTGATATCAAGTAAATTGTCCACACACAGATAAGGCTTTTGCACATTCCCTACATTCATAAGCTTTCTCAAGATTCCTCACATTGTTTATACACATAAAAAATTTTCTTTCATCTCTTCAATCATAAAGTTTCACCAGTATCAACTGTCTCATTTGAATAAGTTGTCCATATAAAGGCTTCCCCACAACCTTTATATTCATAAGGCTTATCATTACTAGGAGTTCTCTCATGTTGAACAAGGTTTGAGTCATAAACAAAGGTCTTCCCAAATTCCGTACACTGATAAGGGTTCTCACCAGTATGAAATCTCTGATGAACACTAAGCTGATAGCCACTACCGAAGGCCTTCCCACATTCTTTACATTCATAGGGTTTCCCACCAGTATGGATTCTCTCATGTTTAACAAGGCTTGAACCCCAACTAAAGGCCTTCCCACACTCCTTACATTTAAAAGGTTTCTCACCAGTATGGATTTTCTGATGTTGAGTGAGGTGATAGCCACGACTGAAGGCCTTCCCACATTCCTTACATTCGTAGGGTTTCCCACCAGTATGGATTCTCTCATGTTGAACGAGACTTGAGCCACAATTAAAGGCCTTCCCACATTCCTTACATTCATAGGGTTTCTCGCCAGTATGAAATATCTGATGTCGAGTAAGTTGATAGCCACTACCGAAGGCTTTCCCACATTCTTTACATTCATAGGATTTCTCACCAGTATGGACTCTCTCATGTTTAACAAGGCTTGAACCCCAACTAAAGGCCTTCCCACACTCCTTACATTCAAAAGGTTTCTCACCAGTATGGATTTTCTGATGTTGAGTGAGGTGATAGCCACGACTGAAGGCCTTCCCACATTCCTTACATCCGTAGGGTTTCTCGCCAGTGTGGATTCTCTCATGTTGAACGAGACTTGAGCCACAATTAAAGGCCTTCCCACATTCCTTACATTCGTAGGGTTTCTCGCCAGTATGAAATATCTGATGTCGAGTAAGCTGGTAACCCCAACAAAAAGCCTTTCCACATACTTTACATTCATAAGGCTTCTTGCCAGTATGGATTTTTTGATGTTGAGTAAGTTGATAGCCACGACTGAAGGCCTTCCCACATTCTTTACATTTATAAGGTTTCTCACCTGTATGAATTATCTCATGTTTAGCAAGGCTTGAGCCCCAAAAAAAGGCCTTCCCACATTCCTTACATTCGTAAGATTTCACACCAGTATGGATTTTCTGATGTTGAGTGAGGTGATAGCCACGACTGAAGGCCTTGCCACACTCCTTACATCCGTAGGGTTTCTCACCTGTATGGATTCTCTCATGTTTCACAAGACTAGATCCCCAACTAAAGGTCTTCCCACACTCCTTACATCCGTAGGGTTTCTCACCAGTATGAAATCTCTGATGCACAGTGAGCTGATAGGCACTAAAAAAGTCCTTCCCACATTCTTTACATTCAAAGTGTTTTTCAGCTATATGAGTTCGCTCATGTTGAACAAGTTTTGAGCCATGACTACACGCCTTCCCACATTCCTTACAAACATAGCGTTTCTCTCTATTATGAATTCTTTGATGTGCACTAAAAGATTTACTTTTTCTATAAGTGGGCATTTTTCCACAGCTAATTATCATTTGACTAAAGTATCCCTCTTGATGTCCCTGTGGTCCCTCAAATTTGCTTTTGCACTTAGAATTATTTTCGAAAATGGATGCCTCAAGGCCAAGAGTTTTACTTCTTTCCTTCATCTCCCATTGGGAAAAATTTATTTCAAAAATGTCTTTTTCTGAAATTGTATTTTTGGTCTCATATGTTGACTCCAAATCTGAAAGAAAACAAGAAAACCACAGATTTTATTTCCTTTCCCAGAAAATTTTACCAGGAAAAAAAAAAAAAAAAAACCTCAACAGAGAAATACAAGACAAATTGGAAATAATACCCATAAGTGAATTGGGAGATTTATTAAGCTCACTGCTAAGCACCATGTCTCTACCCTGTTGAACAACAATCTCAGCTTTGACTTTTCAGCTTTTATGATCTTAATGCTCTGATCTACCAGCTTTCTGGAGGATTCCACAAAGATCACTTTAACAAGTTCCTTATCTCCCCATATGGATGACCCCTTGAACCAAATGTGCCCTTCCATCAATCAAGCCCTTATGTGCCCAAGTGTGGTTCAGCTGAACTTTTAACGATTGTGTAGGCTGGCATGATGAACTCGAATCTAGAAAATCCCCAAACTCAAAAACAAAATCTAGCACACCTGAAACTAATATTGTAGGTCAACTATACTTAAACAAAACAAAATAAAATAAAACATTAAACTACATAATACTTCTTCACAGGGATTTTTCTGAGTGATTAGTGTTGGGACAGAAAGCAGACAAAATTCTGCAAGCCAAGCAGTTACTAAGTTCCAAGGCTCTACTGGAGATGAAACATGTGAAACAAAACCAACTAAAACTATAATACAACCTCCACTTCGCTCAAATCCTGAGACAATCAAAGAGATAAGCACATGGTCATGTGGGAAGTTTATGGCAAAGAAAGATTTTTACATCTAATTTGAAGCCAGAAATAAACTGAAACTAATAAAAGCTATGATTCAGTCCCAGCTCAGCTCCATGCTTGGTGGGATCTGAGTTATCATCCCCTCACCCTAAATAACTGAGAAAGGAGCATATACTTTTATGGGCAGGGAACCATCTATTCTTTACTGTTCTTCAAAATGTCTGGCACATAATAAAAAATTATGAGGTAGGTGAGGAACAGGGAAAGTACAACATATAATCACCCCCCCCAAAAAAACCCACCAAAGAGACAAAGAACAGGTGACACAGATATTAGAATCAACAGGCAAGGCCAATCAATTGTATTTTATAGATTCTGGAAGAAAACATGGACAGTGAGCAGCTGGGAAATTTCAGCAAAGAAATGGAAACTCTAAAATTGTAAAACGGAAATTCTACAACTAAAAAACCCAAACAGAAGCACAAAGAGAAAAAAGAAGGGGAAAAAAAAAAAGAACAGTGTCAGATCTGTGCAACAATATCAAACAATCCAACTTCGGGCAACAGCATTCTAGAAAGAGGACAAAACCAAGTAAGTACTTGAAAAGATTGTTGAAATGTTCTCGAAATGTATGAATAGGCAAACTGCAAGCAGGATAAATACAAAGAAAAGCAACAATTGAGAACATAATCAAACAGTTGAAAACTGAAGATAAAGGAAAAATAGTAAAAGGAGGCGGGGAAGGGGGGACATTAAAGTTAGGGGAACAACTAAACATCACCACTGACTTCACATCTGTAACCATGGAAGCTACCAGACAATGGAATGATATCTTCAATGGCTGAAGGAAGAAAGCTAGAAAATCTAGAGTTTTATATAAAGCAAAAAATTTCTTCAAAATGAAGGTGAGAGATTTCCAGCCCTAGCTGTGAAGAAAAATCCGGTATTAGACTTAACTCTCAAACCACAAACAACCAAAAGCTATAAAATAGGATACTAGACACAGGGCTGAGAAACTTTTAGAGAAGATTATCAGGAGAACTTTATATTCACCCTTTATGCCTGGTTGCATCCTCCAAAACAAGATACAGGGAAATGCTCTCCAAATAGAGAGCAGTTGTCTCACTGGGCAAAGGATCTGAGTTCAGGGCTGCTAAGGTAGCTGGAATTTGTAGTTCAAGGTTAAGTAAATAAAGGAGCCATGTAACAGAGTCCCAGAAATCTATGCAGGGATTCCCTCCCTTGGATCTATAACCAATTATTAATTTATGTATCTATACAGTGACTCTCCACAAGGTAGTTGGAGTAACACAGCCTGAGTGGAAAAAGGCATTCATCTGGGGGCGCCTGGGTGGCTCAGTTGTTGGGCGTCTGCCTTCAGCTCAGGTCATGGTCCCAGGGTCCTGGGATCGAGCCCCGCATCGGGCTCCCTGCTCCGCAGGAAGCCTGCTTCTCCCTCTCCCACTCCCCCTGCTTGTGTTCCTTCTCTGTCAAATAAATAAATAAAATTTATTAAAAAAAAAAAAAAGGCATTCATCTGAGTCCTCACAGAGACCATGTATTGAAGACACATCAGGGGCGCCTGGGTGGCTCAGTCGTTAAGCGTCTGCCTTCGGCTCAGGTCATGATCCCAGGGTCCTGGGATCGAGTCCTGCATCGGGATCCCTGCTCTGCGGGAAGCCTGCTTCTCCCTCTCCCACTCCCCCTGCTTGTGTTCCCCCTCTCGCTGTGTCTGTGTCAAATAAATAAATAAAATCTTAAAAAAAAAAAAAAGAAAGACCCATCATCTGGAGCAGTAGTTCTCAAACTTGTTGGTTTCAGAATCCTTATATTCTTAAAAATTATTGATGAATTCTTTGCTTGCTCATGCATAAATTTATTTCAAATACAAAATACATAAGGTTAGTATTTTTATCTAATGGTGATTTTACAACATTTTAGTTGATTTACTAAAGGGTAGAGAAGTACTGTGGATGTATCTGTGGGAAGTAATTTTAGTCATGGCCAGTTGGTCATAGCTAAACTACAGTAACTATTGTTTTACTTAACAATGTCTTATTGCTTTGTATATATTAACATTTGGGTATAAGGACCGTGTGTATATCCAAAAGGAAGCCAAGGTATTTAAACTGACCAATCTAATATTACAACTACTTTGAGATGGTCAAATGTAAACTAAAAGGAGTGCACTTTTGTGCAGTCTAGCATCAATAAATAGTTCAGTAAACTTGAATTTAGCTCAACCAATCTGAATTGCCATGCAAGAACTTGCATTATAATTACTTGGTAAGTAAGGCTTAACAATGCTAGCAAAGGAATATAGTTTTAACTTCTTTTTAAATATTAAAAAATTATTGAGGACTAAAAAGAACTTTTGTGTGAGTTATAGTTTTTGATATACCATATTAGAAATTAAAACTGAGAAATTAAAGATATTTATTAATTCACTTGAAAATAATAAATCATTGCCTGTTAACACAAATAACAAATTTGTGAAAATTATATTTCCCAAAGTAACAAAAAATAAGTATTATTTTAATTTTTTGTGAATCTCTTTAATATATGGCTTAATAGAAGAGAACTGGATTCTCGTATCTGCTTCTGTATTCACTCTGTGGCAATACGCTATTCTGATTGAAGTATATGAAGAAAATCTAGCCTCCCACCTATATGTAATTGTTATTTTTTGATACTATAAATATGTTACTCTTTGATAGTGTAGTAAAACCTGAGAAGAGACAGTCTCTCAAAGGTTAGCTGCAATGTGAAATATCCAACTATACCCGTGAACTTTTCATATTATGTTACCTTAAAATCCACTGCACTATGAATGATCTTTTATCCAGGCGTAATTTTGTAATATCATGCACTGGTCATATGAAAACTAGTGGTTCACTGAGTTATGCAGATCTTTGAAATGTTGACATATTTCATTACACAATATATTAAAAATCATATGTTAATATTACCATCTATCGCATCAAAAAAATGTTTATGTGTTGGGAAGTTTTAAAGCTCAAAATGGTAGCTGTTTCACACAATTCTAATTTTTACTTGAAAGTCTGAATTAATCATTGGCAACAAATACTGTTATTTGTCTTCAAAGGCGTGCTTATAAGAACATTTTTCCAACTACCTAAGTATGAACAATAAAAGTTTGTCTGTTGGGCATTCTTTCAAGAACAAAGTGGTATTCTGGGGAAAGGACACCCAGTTTGACTCACAATTCAAACAACTGCAAAACTGGTTTTCCTCAAGGCAACCATCACACTTTAGGTATACAACAGAAGAGCTTAATGAATACTTCCCATTTCACCACAATGAATATTTTTTAAAATGCATACTCAAGGGTCAAGACTTAATAAAATGAAGCCCAGAGTAGGAAACTGAAAGTCAACCAATATTGTTACCTTCTGTGAGGAGGGTGTCAGTATAAAAGAGTTGTCCCATGTGCAAGAAGGTTAAAGACAAGTGTCTGTGACCTGGCATGGAGGTCACAGCCCAAGGAGGATGAGAAGGTCAATCACATGATCAAAGTGGTGGTACTGGTAATGGAAGATTGGCTACATACAGAGCGTTTGAGCAAAAAACATATTAAGGAAAATGGAAGCCAAATTTTTCACTGTCAGAGAAGGGAGTTAGAAATATAGAAAGTAAGTTGGTAGGAATGCAAACTGGTGCAGCCACTCTGGAAAACAGTATGGAGTTTCCTCAAAAAGTTAAAAACAGAACTACACTATGACCCACCAATTGCGCTACTAGGTATTTATCCAAAGGATACAAACATAGTGATTTGAAGGGGCACATACACCCCAATGTTTATAGTAGCAATGTCCATAATAACCAAAATATGGGAAGAGCCCAGTGTCCATTGACAGATGAATGGATAAAGAAGATGTGGCATATGTGTGTATATACACACACACACACACACATACACAATGAAATATTACACAGCCTACAAAAAGAATGTAATCTTGCCATTTCCAATGACATGGATGGAACTAGAGGATAATATGCTAAGTGAAATAGTCAGAAAAAGACAAATACCACATGATTTCACTCATATGTGGTATTTAAGAAACAAAACAGATAAACATAGAGGAAGGGAAGGAAAAATAAAATAAGATAAAAACAAAGGGGGAGGTGACCAATAAGAGACGCTAACTATAAGAAACAAACTGAGGGTTGCTGGAGGGGAGGTGGGTGTCATCTCATGGTTTTCAATACACAGATGTAAATGTGTGTGTACACACGTATGTATGTATATAAGTATATTCCCTAGCTCTGACCACTCAGAGACCTGGGAGCACCCATCTCCCAACAGCAATGAGCAACCCTAGTATGAAAATATTGGCTTCTAACTACCATTCTCGACTAAAAGGAACCAGGACACCTTGAAGAAATGGTTGACTTTAGGACTGGAGCAGGGTAAGTACAAGATGAGCCAACAAGCTGTTGTGTCAAAAGATAAGGAGATGCTCAATGAGTAACAGAGTTGTGCCAAAGGACACAGAAGCCTCAGGAGAGGGTTCCCATAGATCAAATCTGGGACAAGCTCAAATATTTTGAACTTCAAAATAAATAAGAAGAGCTTACAACCCACCAACTAAAGATCAAATATATGAATAAATTGAAAATTTGGAGGGATACATTTAATAGTTTCCAAGTTCCTCCTCAAAAAATACCCATTAAAGGAAAAATTATTAATTTTACAAGGAGGAGGGGCCCCTGGGTGGCTCAGTCGGTTAGGAGTCTGCCTTTGGCGCAGGTCATGATCCCAGGGTTCTGGGATTGGGCCCCACGTCAGGGTCCCTGCTCAGTGGAGAGCCTGCTTCTCCCTCTCTCTCTCTGCCTGCTGCTCTGCCTACTTGTGCTCTCTCTCTCTCTCTCTCTCTGTGTCAAATAAATAAATAAATAAATCTTTTTAAAAAAATTTTTTTTACAAAGAGGAAGCCAGCAGACACTAACCTAATCAAGTGCTCAAAGTATCATCAGTAATGACAAACCATTTGTATTACCTGACAGAATGCAAGAACACAGCATCAATTCTGTGATATTACTGCCAAAGATACATAAATCTAAGTCTAATCATGAAGAAAAGTGCAGACAAACTCAAATGAGGGACACTTTACAAAATAACTGGCCTATAATCTTCAAAAGCAGCTAGGAATTCAAGTCAAGGAAAGATGTATGAACTCTTTCAGACTGAAAGGCTACATAACCCAAAACCCTAAAACAACAACAAAAAAACTGTATTACTGAGCCCTCACCTATGTCACCAACCTAATTTCTTTTTTTTTTTTTTAAGATTTTATTTATTTATTTGACAGAGACACAGCAAGAGAGGGAACACAAGCAGGGGAGTGAGAGAGGGAGAAGCAGGCTTCCCGCCGAGCAGGGAGTCCGACGCGGGGCTCGATCCCAGGACCCTGGGATTATGACCTGAGCCGAAGGCAGACGCCCAACTGACTGAGCCACCCAGGCGCTCCATCACCAACCTAATTTCTTTACGATCCTTTACTAACTCTGCCCTGTCCTTCTTACAATTCCAACAGTTTCTTTGCAACCACTGAGCCTTTGCATTTACTGTTCACTGTGACAGATATATTCCTCCCCCAAATAGTCATAAAATTTGATCCCAGTTTTCATGTTTCTATTCAAGAAAGCTTTCCCTGACCATCTTATCTAAATTAGGCCTGTCAATTTCTATCATTTTCTATTCTCTTATGCTCTTTACCTTCTTTAACCAATGTTTCATTATATGACATTATTTATGTACTTATTTATTTACTTATTTTCAGTTTCTTTCTGACTACATAAAACTGCATTTGAGAATGCGCAAGTTATCAATGTTGCACATGACTGTATTGATAGTGCCCAGTACAATGCCTGGCTAGAAGCAGGCAGTCAAAATACTTGCATAACTTATGAATGAATGCATTTATTCATTCATACACATGCAGAAATGTGAAAGAGCTGGAAAGCAGCTGAATCCGACATAGAAGTAGAATGGTTGCACCAGAAACAAAAGAGAATGCCTTCCTTGCTGAAATGGGAGGGTAATACGAGAAGAAAATCAAAGAGTAAGAAATGAGATCAGATGAAAGTTTGTTTGGTAGCCCAAAATGAGATCTCAGTTTCCTCCCTCCAGAGGCCTTGGTCCTTCGTAGGGAGTTTTCCAAACACCATCCCACCTGTTTCTTCTCCTCCTGTGTGACCTGTGAGGTTGGTTCCCTGCAGTGATGGTTCCCTCCTGCCTTTGCCTTCCTGGGTTCCAACTTCTTGGCCCTCCCCTCACAACCATCCAGGACTCTTGTCCTTGCTCCCATAATGTCACATCCAACTGAGAAATGGAGTGTCTGCTTGCAAGAAAAGAAATGCTATATGGTATAGACTTTTTTTTTTAATGAGCTCAAAACATTTGGTTAAATTTGCAATAAAAAGTAAAAATAATATTGATAAAGACTTCACAGAAGAGAAGTATGATGGAAATGAAAAGCATGAGATCACATCAGTAGGAAAATGATCTTGTAGATTCATTCAGGCGCCTTCTCTTTGGAGCAAATAGAAAACAGTGGTTGAAAACACAGACTCATGAGCCAGACCTCCTTACAGGCTCAGTTGCTGCTACTTCTCCCACTAGCTGTGTGACCCTGGGAAGTCACTTACAATGTATGTGTGTCTGTATTCTCATCTATAAAAAGGGTTTGACAAAAACATTACCTGCCTCATAGGGATGTTGTTAAAGTTAAATAAGCTAAAGTATTTGCTCTGCTTAAAACACAGCCTGGTTTATAGTAAGCACAGTGTTAAGTATTAGGATTAGTATTATTACTGTTGTTATTTTGCTAACAGAAAAAGAAGTTTCATGAGACATTTTTAATATTTAACTCAGTGTTGAATTTAACTTTGTAAAATGCAAAGTTCAGATTGCAACTTTTAACCTCAAATATGTTGAAAAGCAATTTGTTCACTTAGTATAAAATGAATTCTGTTTATCCAATCCTCCTCTACATAAAATGGAGAGGCTCTTTGCAAAGTCACAGTACATCAAGACCCTGTTTCTAGCTGTACTCCCCGCATTTTGGTCAAAAAATAACAAAGAGCAATGTTTCTTTAATGTGTATAACAATCACCTGGGGATCTTGTGTAACTGCAGACTCTCTTCTGAGGGTCTAGGGTAGGACCTAACAAGCCCCAGAAGAAGCTGATGTTAAGTATGTAATACTTAACAGGCGCCTGGGTGGCTCAGTTGGTTAGGCAACTGCCTTCCGCTCAGGTCGTGATCCTGGAGTCCCACATAGGGCTCCCTGCTCAGGGGGGAGTCTGCTTCTCCCTCTGACCCTTCCCCCCCCCCATGCTCGTTCTCTCTCTCTCTCAAATAAATACATAAAATCTTTTTTAAAAAAGTATGTAATACTTAACAATAAAAAAAGCTAAAACCCCACATAAACCAAATGAAGGCTTCTAATCACTGAGAAAACAATCCACATTCCTCCTCCAAACCAACAAAACTGCCTATCACCTGGGCTTTATCTAGCTCCTTCACTAACTTCCTGGTGTCATCTCCTTCACTAACTCTGCTCTGGTCTTCCTACGGTTTCTCAAAACAACCACACTTTGAATAGCAAGGTCACAGATCATCTCTAGATAGGCTAAAGTTAAACACAGTGTGAAACCTGGTTTCTTTGACAATGGTTATGAATTAAATGCCCCATAATGCAAATTCAGCTCCTTAGTAATTAAAGAAGAGAGGCCACTGCAGGAAAAGCCAGAGGAAGGTGTGAAGGTATGGGAAGAGGAAGGAGCTCGATGAACCCATTTCTAATCCAACAAATATCAAAACATGCCTTTGAGCACAGGGAGAAGAGATTCACCTGGTTTCTTCAAAGACAGCCCTATCATTCCCATAGCAAAAGCCGATGGTGCAGAGAAAGACTAAAATATTTCAGGCAGATGACCTTACCCAATGAGACCAAGTTACTATAGTTCTCCAACATCACATCCACGTACAAGTCCCTCTGAGCAGGGTCCAGGCACTCCCACTCCTCCTGAGAGAAGTCGATGGCCACATCCCTGAAAGTCACCAAGCCCTAAAACCAAAAACCCATACATTACTTGTGAAATTTAAGAAATTTCAGGATTTAAGAAAATATTTCCAAGAGGAGAAAAAAAGGATTGTGAAGGATAAACTGCAAGAAGAGGAAAATATAACAATCAAGTAGGCTGAAAGCCTGTGATATGTACAGGTAGGGAAGAGTAAAAAAATCTGTATGGCTAAAGCAGAGTGTCTACGTGTTCTAGAAGAATCTTGCTCCAACAGAAAAAAACTTCTAGGATATTGGGAAGTAACTAGACCTGTCTGGTAATCTATAAAATAATCCCAGTTTCTCTTCTATTAAATACAAATAGTGGGGGTGGGGGAAGGCTGTTGATGAGTGTGTATACATACACACAACCTGCTATGTGCCTGCCTCATAAATTCTTCATTAATGTGACCTGCTGCACTGACTTTCAAGGAATACAAAAAAACAAATAAAACTTTTTCCCACATGCACTATAAAATCTCTATTTGAGAAAAATGATTTCTATTAAATTAAGGATTACTGTAAAGCCTCAAGTAAATCACTGTTAGATTACATAGTAAGTCTTTTCTCTTATAATGATGAATACATAAGATGTTTTTATTGGCTGCAATTCAGGTCATCATATAGATACATGAGGTTAATATCTCTACTGTATTTATACAGTTAGGTTGGACAAAAATTCTATTTTCTTCATTCTAGGAATCTATTATCATCCAGTATTTAGAAATCCAGATCACCTTCTTACTTGTTACCATCAACCACCCCTCACCTAACACTTTTCCTCATTCCTGAGTTGGAGGCCATTGAAAGGGCACAATGTATATGACACAGATATCACCCAATATCTGTGCATCCTAGTCAATAACCAAATGAACTTAACACTGGTATTCATCGATTAGGGAACCACTTTCCCTGGAAAGACCCACTCACAAGGCCCCTCATCCTAAAAGCCTTGCAAAGCCTCACAGAAACTGAGGCTGGGACCAAGAAAACCCAAATTCCATCTTCTCTGGGAAACTCAGGTTTGTGAAGAAGTTCCAAGTTTGCCTGTGTGGTCAAATGAGACCCTCATCACTGAATCATCACCTCACAGACCTGACACAAGAATAAGAAATTCTGATAAGGGAACTCGTACAGCCCTAGTGGAAAAAAGACAGAGGTGATAACAAAGGGCACTCCCCAAAACAGCCTGCTGTGGACATGTCCTAAGTAAACACCAAAGCTCTTCCAGAGAATGCACAAGCAACTGAAAGCGTTCTCTAGGGTGACCATCCAGCTGTCTAAGGGCATTATATCCTGAATGGTTTCTTTCCTAGATACCTGCCAATCAGCACCTTAATCTGAAAAAGGAGTAACTGTTGTTTTCAAAATGTCTATAGTCTTTCATTCTCTCTTTTCTCCTTCCCTTATAGAAATCCTGTTTGTGCCTTGATAGATGAAATCAATCTACTCTTGGTTTTCCTTGTATACGAGTGAAAATGTCCTAATTGTTAATTATATTTCTTTGAGTTATTCTTTGACAGGAGCTCAAGCATTTCCCTCAAAAGACTCCTATCCCTTCACTGCTTTCTATAGAAGACTGAGCACACAGATGTTGGATAATGTGTTCAATGATATGATGACACTGATTGGAAAGGCACATGAGAAGGACACTGGGCTATTTGGCACTGTTCTTTACTGGAATAGGAACTGAGAAGCAGGTTCAGGACTAGGGTTCTGTCATGCAGAAAGCTTTAGGACAATTAAGGAGAAGATTCATATGACCTAAAAATCACAGTATTTCAAGGACAGAGAAATAACAACTTACATCAGTCATGGTTCTAGAACTGCAAGAACTAATTAATAATCCATGGGGTTCCTCGATTGGTGAAGCACAGAATCCAGAAAAGCCAGAGCTGGGGAAGGAAAAAAAAAGCTTTAGACTAGGTGTGCTTAAGTGATCCCATCCTGACTTAAGCTAATATAAACTTTTATCTCTTCCATTCCTGTTTCTACTTCATACCCCCACAACCATCTGTGGAAGCTGAACTCTCACCTAAAACCCAAATGTCCTTCAGGAGGAAGGTTTCTGGCAGTGCCTAATTCTGGGGATGCTGATATGGGCCGAAGGTTGGACTACTGAGTGCTGCCCAGACCAGATCCTCCTCCCACCACCGCCACTTCTCAGGGCTGAGAAAGAGGCACATGGTCTGAACCAGAACATCCTTCACAGGCTTGGGGCTGAAGAAAGTTGGTCAAGACACAGGAGTGGACAGGATGTACAATTGCCTGAGCCCCAAAAGCTGACCTCTTAATGCATTCAGAACATCCATGCAATGAAATGCTATAAAACTATGCTAAGTTGGGGAAAATAATCAAGATATACTGTCAATAGAATATATAGCTTACTACATCAAAAACTAATGATGTATTATATGTTGGCTAACTGAACATAAAAAAAGGAAAAAATATAGCTTACAGGATGTATAGTGTGATTATATTTATAAAGTATATGTGTATATCAATATAGAAAAGATTGACAATCAGATGTCAATAGATGAAAAAAGTGTTTAGGAAGTTATACATGTATATACAATAAAGTTTTTATTGTGGTAATAATGTTCTTTTTGTTTAAGTATTTGTAGAGTTGTTGTAACAAGGGCCATGCATTATACTAACTATATAATTTCTATATACACTCATGTCCTGCTTAGAAAAAAATGGCTAAAATTCCCCAAGAAATGTCATGGATATATTGATGAGATCGCAAGCCTGTTTCTTTTCACGTCTTCTGACACATGGGTTTATTTTGCATCTGACCTGTCTTTTTAGACGATACTCTACCGATAACTGCTGAATCACCTGATTCTGTCAGTCTCACTTAGCAATGAACATTAGTAGGATAAAACCTGTAAGGTATAAAACTCAGGACAAATTCCATTTGCCTCCAAAAAGCTGGTCATGACCCAACAGTATTTCCTATAATTACCTTCCTATGAGTTCCTAAGACAGGTTGCCTGAATTGCTTATTGGCCTTTGTTGCTGGCAGCCTAGTTATTCCTATGTATATTTAGTCTTCTTTGTCTTAATGGTAACAACCATGTCTTTCAATTATTGTATTACCTCCCAAGTACTATCTCAGGCTCTTAAAATTGGGGCAAATTTTTACCCAAAATTCCCTTATGGAAACGTATTCTTAAACGGTTAAAGAAGTATAGATGTACATACACGAATATTCACCCAGGGGCACCTGGGTGGCACAGTCGGTTAATTGTCTGACTCTTGGTTTCAGCTCAGGTCATGATCTCATGGTCATGGGGCTGAGCTCCACCTCAGGCTCCACACTCAGCAGAGGGTGGAGATTCTCTCTCCCTCTCCCTCTGCCCTCCCACTCATGCTCTCTAAAATAAATCTTAGAAAAAAAAAGAATATTTTGTGCCAGTACCATGCGTCTTGGTGATCACAGCTTTGTAATATAGCTTGAAATTGGGCAGCGTGATGCCCCCGGCTTTGTTTTTCTTTTTCAAAATTTCCTTGGCGATTCGGGGTCTTTTCTGATTCCATACAAATTTTAGGACATATAGACCAATGGAACAGAATAGAGAACCCAGATATGGACCCTCAACTCTATGGTCAAATAATCTTCGACAAAGCTGGAAAAAACATGCAATGGAAAAAAGTCTCTTCAATAAATGGTGCTGGGAAAATTGGACAGCCACATGCAGAAGAATGAAACTCGACCATTCTCTAACACCATACACAAAGATAAACTCAAAATGGATGAAAGATCTCAATGTGAGACAGGAATCCATCAAAATCCTAGAGGAGAACATAGGCAGTAACCTGTTTGACATCGCCCACAGCAACTTCTTTCAAGATACATCTCCAAAAGCTAGTGACACAAAAGCAAAAATGAACTTTTGGGACTTGATCAAGATAAAAAGCTTCTGCACAGCAAAGAAAACAGTCAACAAAACAAAGAGGCAACCCACAGAATGGGAGAAAATATTTGCAAAAAGACACTACAGATAAAGGGCTGGTATCCAAGATCTATAAAGAACTTCTCAAACTCAACACCCAAAAAACAAATAATCAAGTAAAAAACTGGGCAGAAGACATGAACAGACACTTCTCAAAAGGAGACATACAAATGGCTAACAGACACATGAAAAAATGTTCATCATCATTAGCCATCAGGGAAATTCAAATCAAAACCATACTGAGATACCACCTTACACCAGTTAGAATGGCAAAAATGGACAAGGCAAGAAACAACCAATGTTGGAGAGGTTGTGGAGAAAGGGGAACCCTCTTACACTGTTGGTGGGAATGCAAGTTGGTACAGCCACTTTGGAAAACAGTGTGGAGGCGCCTCAAAAAATTAAAAATAGAGCTACCCTATGACCCAGCAATTGCACTCCTGGGTATTTACCCCAAAGACACAGATGTAGTAAAAAGAAGGGCCATATGCACCCCAATGTTCATAGCAGCAATGTCCACAATAGCCAAACTGTGGAAAGAGCCGAGATGCCCTTCAACAGATGAATGGATAAAGAAGATGTGGTCCGTATATACAATGGAATATTACTCAGCCATCAGAAAGGATGAATACCCAAATTTTACATCAACATGGATGGGACTGGAGGAGATTATGCTAAGTGCAGTAAGTCAGGCGGAGAAAGCAATTATCATATGGTTTCACTTATTTGTGGAACCTAAGGAATAGCATGGAGGACATTAGGAGAAGGAAGGGAAAAATGGGGGGGGGAATTGGAGGAAGAGATGAGCCATGAGAGACTATGGACTCTGAGAAACAAACAGGGTTTTAGAGGGGAGCGGGGAAGGAGGGGTTGGTTAGCCCAGTGATTGGTATTAAGGAGGGCACGTACTGCATGGAGCACTGGGTGTTATATGAAAACAATGGATCGTGGATCACCACATCAAAAACTAATGATGTATTGTATGGTGACTAACATAACATAATAAAATTAAAAAAAATTTCAACCAAAAATCATTTATGATAAAGAATCAGAAACTACCTAACAGTAAGCAAATGCTTTGCTAGATTGTGGCCTGCTATGTCCTCATTAGTTTGGTTGTATTAGACCATATTAACTGATGAAGAAAAACACATGTAATCAATTCCTTAGGGAGGCAGGCAGGTTTGTAAAGTATACACAATGTGGGAAGTGTATCTGATATTAAGATAAAAACTCTGGTGTTGGACTTTCAAGATGTGAATCTGGGCTTCACAGTGACCAGTTTCTCAACACTTCTATTTCCTTGCCAATAAAAGACAAATAGGTGGGCACCTGGGTGGCTCAGTCAGTTAAGTGTCTGCCTTCAGCTCAGGTCATGATCCCAGGGTCCTGGGATCGAGCCCCGCATGGGGCTCCTTGCTCGGCGGAGAGCCTGCTTCTCCCTCTCCCTCTGCCTACCACCCTGCCTACTTGTGCTCTTTCTCTATCTCTGTTAAATAAATAAATAAAAATCTTTAAAAAAAAAAAAGACGAATAGGAACATTGTCTACCACAGAGGGCTGCATTGAAGATTATGTGAGAAAATCCACAAAAATTATTGGTGTACAACAGGGGCGCCTGGCTGGCTCCTTCACAGGAGCATGTGGCTCTCGATCTCAGGGTTATGAGTTTGAGCCCCACGTTCGGTGCAGAGATTAGTTAAAACAACAACAACAACAAAAATAACAACAGCAGGTGTACAACAATTAGTCATTATCGAAGATGCAAAAGATTATTGTCCCTTATTCTAAGGAAAGTTAACACCCCTTTCCATTTTTTCATAATAAAATCTGTACTTTTCAGGTCTATTTTCTTACAAAGTTAATTAAAGTTTCACAGCCCAGCCTTGAGCTTGCTATTCTTCCCAAGTAACAACATAAGCAAAACAGGGTCTCAGAAAGACATACAGGAGATATCCCCTCCTCCCAGAAGCAGCAAACAGAGACAGGACTCAGCATCATAAAGCAGGCTCAGAAAATATTACCCAATTAGATGTCAAGAGAACGTTAACCAGAGGGTGCCTGGGTGGCTCAGTTGGTTAAGAGAACATTAACCAGAGATGTGATCTTGTTCTGTGCAATTGGTGGTTTATTTGAATATTTATCACTATAACCTTCTTATTCTACCTTCTGGAATAAGATTTTTATTTATTTATTTGATAGAGAGAAAAAGTGGCAGAGGGAGAGGGAGAAGCAGGCTTCCTGCTGAGCAGGGAGCCCGATGCGGGACTCGATCCCAGGACCCAGGGATCATGACCTGAGCTGAAGGCAGACGCTTAACCCACTGAGCCACCCAGGCGCCCCTATGAAATAGATTTTCATAAGACAGAACATATACACTGGAAAATTATCATTATTTTCTATGGAAGGAACCTTTAAAATAATCTAATTCTGAAAGTCTTTGTCACCCTTATAACTAATTTTTAAATGGTGTTTCTATATGCCTAAAAGTTGTTAATACTTCAGGTTTTTAAATAAGAAATCACTGACACTTCCCTCTTCTTTCTACATATTCAAGATTAAAATAAAACCCACATCTGGGTTGGATTTCTTCTTCAAAATAAGAGCTAGAGAGTCTTCAACTCAATTGTATCACCAATTACTGTTATCTTATTCTGCAGAAACAAAACCAGACACATAGGCTCATGCACAAAAAAATTTAAACAGAAACACACCAAAGTATTAAGAATGATTAACTTTAGAGGATGTAATTTTAACTTCCTTCTCTATATGCTTCCTGGATTGTTGCGTTTTTTGCAACAAACCTATATTAATTTCATCATCAGAAATGCAAAGATATTCCCAAATGTAAAAAATTGATGGGTGCCTGGGTGGCTCAGTTGGTTGGGTGGCTGCCTTCGGCTCAGGTCATGATCCTGGAGCTCTGGAATTGAGTCCCGCATCGGTCTCCCTGCTCAGCGGGGAGTCTGCTTCTCCCTCTGACCCTCCCCCCCTCATGCTCTCTCTCAAATAAATAAATAAAATCTTAAAAAAAAAATTGAATGATCGGGAAGGGGCATCTTTCAGCCATTAAGAAAACTGAAAAAACAGACCCAACACTGAACATCAGTGTGCCGGAAACAAAGTGCACCTACTAGCTGTTGAACGTCTGTAGCTGTAAGCTCACCACGACACTGAGACACTTTCACTGTCAAGATTCCCCTGTAATGGGCACCTGGGTGGCTTAGTCGGTTAAGCATCTGCCTTTGGGATCAAGTCCTGCATCGGGCTCCCTGCTCAGCGGAGAGTCTGCTTCTCCCTCTGCCCCTCCCCCCAGCTCAAGCTCGCCCCCGCCACTCTGTTTCACAAAAATAAAGAAATCTTAAAAAAAAAAAAAAGAAGGGGCGCCTGGGTGGCTCAGTCGTTAAGCGTCTGCCTTTGGCTCAGGTCATGATCCCAGGGTCCTGGGATCAAGCCCTGCATCGGGCTCCCTGCTCGGCGGGAAGCCTGCTTCTCCCTCTCATACTCCCCCTGCTTGTGCTCCCTCTCTCACTGCCTCTGTCTCTGTCAAATAAATAATCTTAAAAAAAAAAATTCCCCCACAATGAACACCAATTATGTAAGTCACCTTCAAAGTCGGAGGAAGGAAATATATGCACATAAACAGAACAATATCTGGTACAGAACAGATGCTCAACAAGTGTGGCTACACCTCTCCACTTCTTCACTGAAGAGTCAATTAAAAAACATTTTGGATACAATTCCTGAAAAATGTCTTTCAAGACTTTCACTGAATGGGATTCTTATATAACTCATCATAATCTTGGGGACTTTTGTTCATTACTACAACTAGTACTTAATATTTTATTATTTACATTTTTCCTTTTGATTCTTTATAGGCATAATTTTTATTAGGTGCACATTATTCCATTACAGGATATACTGCCATTTACTTAACTGTTTCCATATCACTGGACCCTAATTTTGTAAAAGTTCCTTCCCAGCTATTAAATCTTAATTCCAGACCAATGAAGCTAGACCTTTTCTGGGTCATGCACACTTGACAATCTCATGAAATTATAGACATTTTGCCCCCTTAAAAAAATAAATTTACAAATATTTACAAAAATTCTGCCTCAATTTCAAGGGGTTTGCGATCACCTGGCAGCTCATAAACGGAACAAGACCTCAGGTTAAGATTTCCTGTACTAGACCATTTGAGCATCTGGTCACTTTTTTAAACTTGCAAGCACCCATCACAATCATCTTCATGTTTCTCTCAAATTTCAATCATAAAAAGTTGATGTGAAATGATCCAGAATCACCATGTGACAGCAAATCTTAATATTCACTAAGCCTGTATCATGGGGCAGGCCCTCTTGTAAGGAACTTCACACACATTGACTCATTTTATATCTTTATAACCCCCATGAGGTAGGCATTATTTTGCCTTAATTTGCCTTAATAATGACAGAGACAGCCTGAGTCACCTAAGCTCACAGAGCTAGTAACAGGTGGAGCCAGGATTTGAATACAGATGCTCTAGGTCCAGAGCCTTACTCTTAGCCATAACACAGTACCGCTTCTACAACACTCACAAAGTGGGACCTGAAATAACTCATGTTTAGCAATGTTACAGATTTCTACCTAAAGATTATCTGAAAGGTTCTGTCCTTGTTGGTGCAAACTGCAAACCCCTATGCTCAAAGACCAACCACATTCCCACACCCTAAAAGCCTCACAACGTTGTCATTTATTAACGGAAACAATCCTTCTACCTTGCCTTGATTTAAAAATCATGACTGTGGAGAAGACAGAAAATAGTTTGCACATGATACCACTCAAATACCAACATCCTCAAGTAATCATAGCCTAAAATAAAACTCTAACACTAATCTCTAGGAGGTGTATTTCTACATCATCACATACTCAGAAAAGGAGAATGCACTGAAGGATTTGAATAATTTGCCATTTGAACAGCTAGCTACTGATTGAGAATAGGGGCAATAGAGGGTCACTAAGAAGCGAGATACATGAGTAGGGTGGGTCATTCACCAGAAGGAAAACCCAGGATAGACACTACCAGTAATATTGCAGGCCAAGGAAAGCAAATATTCCCATGATCTAAAAACAAAAGTAATTGTGTGAAAAAAAAAGAAAGAAAGAAAGAAAGAAAGAAAGAAAGAAAGAAAGAAAGAAAGAAAGAAAGAAAGAGAAAGAAAGAAAGAAAGAAAGACACACTCACCTGAACCTTGATTTCAAAATATGCAGCAATTCTTTCCTCCTCCTCAGGGTCCTTCTTAAAAACCCGGCAGCAGTAGGGGGCAAAAAAGAATCATGAGACACCAACATTTCTTGGAGCACAGACCTAACTTTAAAAAACATAACAGAAACAAAAACGGAAAACCAAAACGCTGTCTAGAGCCATATCTGCCTCCATCCACACAAAATCAGATGGGATTGAAAGGAAGGCTGGACTCTATCTCTGAGTTGACAGCAATTGTTGGGGACAGAGGTCTGGTTGCAGCGGCTCTGAAACAGGTAGCTGGCTCCGAAGGAGTTCCTAGACGCGCCCCTCCTAGGAATCTTACCTCTGGGACCTCCCCATCACGTCTTCCTAGGAGCAAGTCCTGAGGACACCTGCGGATATAAAATGCTCATCCCAAGACTGGACCTATGCCTTCTTGCGTGGAACGTTCACTCTAGGGCTTCGCGTAGGGCTCCTTCTCTTGCGGTCACTTAAATTTGGCAGGCCCAAAGAAAGTCTAGAGGGAACGTGGAGCACAAACAGCCAAAGCAAAACCACAAGGCCACGCACCTCATCACCCCATCACACATTGCCAATCGCAAACACCATTACGGAGACACACCCCGGCCTGGCCACGCCGGCTGTCACACACCCAACCTTCTCAGCCGCTCGCGCGCACACAGGCTGGAGGCTCCGAACGCGACATGCTCAGTCCGCGACCTGGGCCTCCTCAACTCGGGCGCCTCCCGGAGTCACCCCCAGCCTCGCTGCCGGTTCTGACCCGGCGCTGATTACTTCCTCCGACGCGATCACCTCAACTCGCCGAGCCCAAAAACCTTCAGGACACCGGAAACGGACCCACAGGCTTATGGGAAATAAGAGCCTGAACGTCCTGGGAGGCTGGGAATCTGGCCATCCAAAGAGGTCTCCGCTGGCAAACTCGCCCCGCCCCGAAAAAGACCTGTGCCCGGGGACTTCTGGGAAATGTAGTCCATGGCGGGCAAATCCCCGGAAGCTGGGACCCTGGACCCTTAGACTGCTCCCAGCATGCAATTCGGCTACGCGTAGCAAAGGCGCTTTTTCCAAAGTCAACCCCGAGTTCGTTCTGGTCTTTGCTGCGGGAAGTAGGTCCCGGCTCGGCGAACCTCGCAGCTCAGTCATCCTTTATGTTGTTGTCAAACAACATCTCTGATGAATGGTTGTGGTCTTTGATGAATGCTTCTCAAGGAAGGCTGAGGAACGCATTCTGGACTCCAGAGGAGGTGGAGATGGGAAGGGGGCGGGGGGCGGAACATCTCAATTAAGGTCCGTGGGAATGAGCTAGGCCACGAGCTTATCTAGATTACAAGAGACTGGAGCAGGGTCTGGCAGTTGAACAGATGGGTGTATCTTCCTCTGGGTGAGTTTGTGGGTCCAATTCGGTGAGTGGGACCTTGAGTGGAGTTGTTTACCTTCATGGGATAGTTTGTGCTAGTGTGAATCTTTGTTTCCTTAGGTGTAAGGCGGTTTGTGTTAGAAATTACATACCACTGTTGAAAAGCAACAATACGTGGTCATGGATTGATATTGTGATCATATGCAAAGGTCTCTTTGGACTGAGAGACGAGATGTGTGACATTGTGTGTTAATATCAGTAACCGAGAATGACTTAATATCTGTGAGATTTTTTTATAGACTTTTCTTTTGTGTGCATACTATGATGATTATGAAAGTGGATCACTGTCCAGCTGAGATCGAAAAACAGTGAGTTGTTAGTTTGATTATATGACTGCCAATCACTATATATGCCTGAATAATTGTGACTGTGTTAGGATAGTGAGTTTCATTATTTCCACAGTTTCATTATCTATAAAATAGTGTTATTACATCTTGGAGCATCAAATTTGAGATGCAGAAAAATATTTGCAATTTATTTACCAAATGATTTTATGATATTTTATAATGAATCAGTGCTGTTTATCAGAAAGAATGCAAATCAACATTTTAAAAGAAAGAAGAAATAGGGATGTCTGGGTGGCTCAGTCAGTTAAGTGTCTGCCTTCAGCTCAGGTCATGATCCCAGGGTCCTGGGATTGAGCCCCGCATTGGGCTCCCTGCTCTGCGGGAGGCCTGCTTCTCCCTCTCCCACTCCCCCTGCTTGGGGAGTTCCCTCTCTCACTGTGTCTCTCTCTGTCAAATAAATAAATAATATCTTTTAAAAAAAAAACACTACTTGTCTTATTCAAAAAGTGATAATTACATTTTGTCATATTCTGAGTAAACAAATACCAGGATACCATTTCCTGAACAGTGCCTGATTCCTCTTTTGCAGTTGGCAATTTTGAAACTAAATATTTGTATTTCTTCTGACATTTCTGACACTTTTTCTTCAGACCTGAAATGGTAGATAAAAATATATGAAGAGCTAATGGATGTAGTATGAGGGAAGAAGATAAAATTCCTTGTCTATCACAATTTCAGAACAACCTACCAAATGTTCTGGGGGGGGGGGATGTTTTTTTTCTGACCTTTTTTTGTTGTTTCTCCTCCAAATGTCTCTCTTTTGTTTCATCCTAACTGGCTTCATCAGAGCTAAAAATCCATGAATGCTTTTTGTGTCATAAAACACAGTTACATTGATTTTGCTCATATCATTGCAGTAACAAATCTAGAAATGAAACATGCCCATCAAAAGTAGGATGGAATGAGAGACGATGGACTCTGAGAAACAAATGGAGGGTTCTAGAGGGGAGGGGGTCGGGGATGGGTTAGCCCGGTGATGGGTGTTAAAGAGGGCACGTTCTGCGTGGAGCACTGGGTGTTATACGCAAACAATGAATCATGGAACACTACATCCAAAACTAATGATGTAATGTATGGTGATTAACATAACATAATAAAGAAAAGGCTGGATAATTAAGTGTGGACTACTTTTACATTGGCATAGTACACAGCAGTGAAAGTTACTGACTCTAACATGATGAGCAAGAGCCATAGAAATGTAGAGTGTGTTCCATTCATAAGATTTTAGAAAGAAGCAAAATAAATGATACTTTGTGCTTAAGTGGAAGATAATGGAAAACAAGGATATGGTAAATAAAATTCAGGAATGTGGTAAGTTCGGAGAGGAGGAAACATGAAAAGATAAGTTTGCAAGGGGATTCAAAGTTATCTCATGACCCCACTGGCTGCTCTGAACTGCCGTCTTTGCATTGTTCCCGTGTCCAGCTCCGGGTTCGTGGTAATCACCTCTGCCACACACCTCCTCCACCACCACAGACTCCGGCAGCTTCATCGCCAGAGCCCTCCAACTCTTGCTTGCTTTTTAATCCACTGCATTGGATCGCCGGTGTGCCAGGTCATGTCAGAGGCAGCCGTGGACACCAGCTCCGAGATTACCACCAAGGACTTAACAGAATTGTGGAGGACGCAGAGAATGGCAGAGATGCACCTGCTAATGGGAAAGCTCCTGAAGAAAATGGGGAGCAGGAGACCAACAAGGTGGATGAAGAAGAGGTAAAGGGGCAGGAGGAAGAGGAGGAAGAAGATGGAGAGGAAGATGGGGAGGCTTAGGCAGCTATGCACACAGGCAGCTGAAGATGATGAGGATGATGATGTCGACACCAAGAAACAAGACCTCTGAGGATGATTGGACAGCAAAAAAGAAAAAGTTAAACTTAACAACAACAAGGGCTACCATGATCTATTCACCCCGCCCGCCCACTTCCCATCTCAGACTCTAAACGTGGTCACTTTCAGGGCGCCTGGGTGGCTCAGTCAACTGTCTGCCTTCAGCTCAGGTCATGATCCCAGGGTCCTGGAATCGAGCCCATATCAGGCTCCCTGCTCCGCGGGAAGCCTGCTTCTCCCTCTCCCACTCCCCCTGCTTGTGTTCCTGCTTTTGCTATCTCTTTCTCTGTCAAATAAATAAATAAAAAGTCTTAAAAAATAAATAAATAAACACGGTCACTTTCAAGTGGAGAGTCCCACCTACCCACGCCCCATGTGGGCAGCGCCACCTACAGATGATACACTCACTCCACCCCCCCACCCACAATCACAACAGGAGTCTGCAAACAGGGAAGAAGAAAAGAACCAACAATTCCAAGGCCCTGTTTTTTTTCTTAAAAGTATTTCAAAAGGGGAAATTTGTATTTTATATTTATATATTTTTACATACTGCTAGGGATCAACCATTTTTAGTGATCTCGGATGACCAAACTAGCCTTCTGAGCGTTCTCCGCCCTACTTCTGACTTTACTTATGGTGTGACCATATTCATTATAATCTCAAAGAAGAAAATAAAACCTTGTAAAAAAAAAAAAAAGGCAAAACAACAACAAAAAATCTTATTCTAAGCCCTCCACTAATTTTTTGGTGTGTATGTACTTAGCTGTACCATAAGTAGTTGGTTTCTATGAGATGGTTAAAAAGGCCAAAGGTAAAAGGTTTCCTTTTTTTCCTTTTTTGCCTATGAAGTTTCTGTTTATTTTCTTTGACCCGTTTGATGTATGTGTGGAACAATGCTGTCCAACAATAAACTGGAATTTTATTTTGCTGAGTTGTTCTAACAACAACAAAAAGTTATTTCATGTATTGTATTTCTTAAACTGGGTTATATTTACACAATTGTTTACTGTTATTTTGATATATTCCTCATCAGTTATAAGTATTAGTTTATCTATGATGAAATTTAAAAAAATTAATATAAGAATTGAATATATAACTGTGTGTATTTATATAAATGTGACTGTATGAACATGGAGAAAGATGTGGGATATATACACCAGATTTTTTTTTAAAAGATTTATTTATTTGACAGACACAGCGAGAGAGGGAACACAAGCAGGGGGAGTGGGAGAGGGAGAGGCAGGCTTCCCACTGAGCAGGGAGCCCGATGTGGGGCTCAATCCCAGGACCCTGGGATCATGACCTGAACTGAAGGCAGACGCTTAATGACTGAGCCACGCAGGCGCCCCTATACACCAGATTTTTAATATGTTCTACATTGGGGGACTGTAGGAACTTGTGAAGGTGTATGTACAAAGGAGAAACTGATAGGCAACCAATGAAGATCTTGTTAAAAGTATAAAATACATCTCTGTTATTTACATGTATATATGTTAAAAGATGGTTTAAAAAATACCAAGAATTATCACAAGATAGTAGGCTTTCAGGTGTTTTCACTTTATATTTTTATGTCCTGCTTGAATTTTTGACTTAAAGTCTATTTTGTCTGATTATGGCCACCCCTGCTTTCTTTTGGCTACCATTTGCATGGAATATCTTTTTCCATACTTCACTTTCAGCCTATATGTGTCCTTAAATCTAAAGTGACTCTCTTATAGACAGCATATAGTTGGATTATGTTTATACATTCAGCCACTCTGTATATATTGATTGGGGAGTTTAATGCATTTATATCTAAAATAATTATTGATAGGGAAGGACTTACTGTTAGCATTTTGTTAATTGTTTTCTATATTTCCTGTGTCTCTTTTCTCCCTCTTTTCCTCTCTTACTGTCTTCCTTTGTGCTTCAGTGATTTTTTTTTGTAGTGTCATGCTTTGATTCCTTTCAAATTTTCTTTTGTGTATCTTCTATCAGTATTGCCTTTTGGTTATTATGATGCTTACATAAAACATCTTGTGGTTATAACCATCCATATTAAGCTGACACTTACTTAATTTCAGTTGCATAGAAATACTCAACACTTTTACTTCTCTCCCCTCACATTTTATGTTATTGATGTCATGAATTGTGTCTTTTTATATTGTGCATCTATTAACATACTTTAGTAGTTACAGTTTCTTATATTTCTGTCTTTTAACTTCTATACCCAGAATTAAAAGTGATTTATGCACCACTGTTACACTTTTATAATATTCTGTATCTGTGTACTTAACAGTGAGCTTTATACTTTCATTTCCTTTTCCTTT